CCCGCCCCGTCCCTCGGTGCCCCCCCAGCCCCACGCCGTGCTGACGGCCCCCTCCCTGCCGCAGATACCTGGCCTACCGCAACTTCATGATCGACACGTACCGCCTGAACCCGCAGGAGTACCTCACCTCCACCGCCTGCCGCCGCAACCTGGCGGGCGACGTCTGTGCCATCATGCGGTGCGTTTGGCCCCCCCCGCACGCGGCTCGGCCCCTGGCAGCCGCCCCCTCCTCTCTGAGCCCCCCCCACACACTCCCCTTTTTTTTTTTTCCTCCTCCGCAGGGTCCACGCCTTCCTGGAGCAGTGGGGCCTCATCAACTACCAGGTGGACGCCGAGAGCCGGCCCACCCCCATGGGCCCCCCACCCACCTCTCATTTCCACGTCCTGGCCGACACCCCCTCGGGGCTGGTGCCTCTGCAGCCCAAGACGCCCCAGGTGGGTGCGCAACGAGGGTCCCCCGCCGCCTCCGCGTCCCGTCCGCCTTCCCCGGTCCCCGTGGGGGGGGGGTGTTGGGGGGTTAGCGTTGGGATTTTGAGGGGGCTGGGGGGGGGGGGGGGCCTGAGCACAGCTTTGTCTGTGCCTCAGGGCCGGCAGAGCGACGGCGACGCCAAGACGGGCCGCAAGAGCAAAGAGATCGAAGACCTCGTCACCGAGACGGTGAAAGGGAAGCCGGAGCTGGTAGGCGGCTGCATGGGGCCCGTCCCCCCGCCGCTGGCCGAGGAAGGCTCCTTCCCTCCTCCCCCTCGCGCCCCGCATGCCGCCCTGCCCTGGGGAGCAGGGACGCGGGGGGGACACCGTGACGAGATGGGGCACTGCGGCGTCTCCAGGGAGGGACGGGGATGGGGAGGGGGGGGGGGGAGCTGCGTCTTCTCGGGCCTGCCGCCCCCCAGGCTGTGCCCCCAACGTCCCCTCTCCTCCCCAGCAGCAGACCTCGGCCTCGCAGCAGATGCTGAACTTCCCCGACAAGAGCAAGGAGAAGCCGGCCGACATGCAGAACTTCGGCCTCCGCACCGACATGTACACCAAGAAGAACGTCCCCTCCAAGGTGGGGGCCCCGGCCCCTTCTTTGCTCCCTCCCCGTGCCCCCACCCCGCTGCTCACCCCCTCTTTCACCCCCACAGAGCAAAGCTGCCGCCAGCGCCACACGGGAGTGGACGGAGCAGGAGACGCTGCTGCTGCTGGAGGTGAGCCAGGGATCTGGGAAGGGGTCCCGGGGAGGAGGGAGCGTTGGTAACGGGGCCACCCAGCCCCGCTGAGCCCCCCCACCCCACCCCGTAGGCCCTGGAGATGTACAAGGACGACTGGAACAAGGTGTCGGAACATGTGGGCAGCCGGACGCAGGACGAGTGCATCCTGCACTTCCTGCGGCTGCCCATCGAGGACCCCTACCTGGAGGACTCGGAGGCGTCCCTGGGGCCCCTGGCCTACCAGCCCATCCCCTTCAGCCAGTCCGGCAACCCCGTCATGAGCACCGTCGCCTTCCTGGCCTCCGTCGTCGACCCCCGTGTCGCCTCCGCCGCCGCCAAATCGGCGCTGGGTAATGCGGCCGCGTCCCCACAGGGGTCGGAGCCCGGGGGTGCCGTCGGCTGTGGCCTTAGGGGCACGAGACCCCCCCCCAGGGCGGTGGAGGCAAGAGGGGGCCGAGCAGTGCCAGAGAACGGGCGGCACGGCACGGGGCCGCGGGCGGTGATGGGGAGCTGGGACATGGGACACGGGACGAGCCCCCCCACACCTCCAGGGGGGCTGTGCGGTGCCAAGGAGCGGGGCTGGCTCTGGGGGGGGGGCTCAGCCCCCTGCTGACGGGCGGCATCGCGCTGCTCTGGCAGAGGAGTTCTCCAAGATGAAGGAGGAGGTGCCCACGGCGCTGGTGGAGGCACACGTCCGCAAGGTGGAGGAGGCGGCCAAGGTGACGGGCAAAGCCGACCCCGCGTTCGGGCTGGAGAGCAGCGGCATCGCCGGCACCACCTCCGACGAGCCCGAGCGGATAGGTACCGCCTGGGGGGGCTGGGGGAGGCTCTGTGCAATGGGTTTTAGCATGGGGGGGGGGGCTAACCCTGTGCCTGTGTCCCCAGAGGAGAGCGGCACGGAGGAGGCGCGGGCAGAGGCGCAGCCGGCGGAGGAGAAGAAGGAGGCGAAGGTAGCGGGGCTGGGGGCGCAGGGTGGGGACCTGATGGAGGTTGGAAACTGGGGGGTCAAACAGCCGGGTCTGGTCCCTTCCCCAGGAGCCCCGGGATGGCACCGCCGAGGAGGAGGTGAAGGAGAAACTGGGGGACATGGCCAAGAAGGAGGAGGAGAAGGGCAAGGAGCCGGAGGGTGAGAAGGAGTCGGACAAGGGCGACAGCGATGGCACAGGTGAGAGGAGGCCTGGCCGGGCAGGGGGTGCAGAGCCACCCCCCCAGCCACCCCTCACTGACCACCCCTGCCCCCTGCAGGGGACCTGGAGAAGGAGAAGGAGGCGAAGGAGGCGCAGGACGAGGTGCCCAAGGAGCCACCGGAGCCCGAGGCTGAGCGCAAGGCGAAGGTGGAGCGGGACATCGGCGAGGGGAACCTCTCCACCGCCGCCGCCGCCGCGCTGGCCGCAGCTGCTGTGAAGGCCAAGGTGCGGGTTGGGGAGTTTCAGGGGGGCTCTGTGTGTGTGTGTGGGGGGGGTTTCCTGCAGGTGTTGACCCCCCCACCCCATCCCCTCAGCACCTGGCGGCCGTGGAGGAGCGTAAGATCAAGTCTCTGGTGGCGCTGCTGGTGGAGACGCAGATGAAGAAGCTGGAGATCAAACTGCGGCACTTCGAGGAGCTCGAGACCATCATGGACCGGGAGCGCGAGGCGGTGAGCAGGGCGCAGACCTTGAGCATCCCCCCCCACACACCCTGGCAGCCTCTACTGACCCCCCCCGTGCCTCCCCGTAGCTGGAATACCAGCGGCAGCAGCTGCTGGCGGACCGCCAGGCCTTCCACATGGAGCAGCTGAAGTACGCGGAGATGCGCGCCCGCCAGCAGCACTTCCAGCACCTGCAGCAGCAGCAGCAGCAGCAGCCGCCCCCCCTGCCGCCGGGGGCTCAGCCCCTGCCCGCCACCGGCACCCCCCTGGCCCCCGCCGCCCACCCTCTGGGCGCGCCGCCCGCCCCCGCCATGGTGGCCCCCGCTGAGCCCGGGGGGCAGCCGCTGCCCGGGGCCCCCCCGCCGCAGCCACCCCCGCCACCGGGCGCCCCGCAGCCTGGCCCGGCCATCCCGCACGGTGAGCGGGGTGCTGAGGGGTTGCGTGGGTGGCTGGGGGGGGGTCTCAGCCCTGATGGTTTCCCCCCCCCCACAATTTCATGCTCTCGCCATCTACCTGAAGGTGGGGGGGAGCTGGGCAGGGGGGGGCTGCGGATGGTAGGGATGGGAGGAGAGGGAATGGCCTCGGGTGGTGCCGGGGGAGGTTTGGGATGGGAATGGGGAGGCAGTTTTTGGGGAGGGTGGGGGGGTGTTGGAATGGGCTGCCCAGGGAGGGGGTGTCCCTGCCCCATCCCTGTCCTTGTCCCTGTCCCTGTTCAAGGAAAGCTTGGCCGTGCTGCCTGGGTCCAACGCAGGGACCTTGTTGGTGGCAGGGGGATGTCCCCCTGTTGGTGGCAGGGGGAGGGTTGGCCCAGGTGCTCCTCAAGGCCTTCCCGTAACGTTTCCCTCTCTCCCGCAGCCCCGGCGCCGTTCCCCGGGCAGCAGCCGCCGTCCCAGAGCCTGGCTGGGAGCCTCGGTGGCAGCGGCCACCCCGCCGTGCCCGGTAATGCGCCCGCGGCCCTGCCCTTCGGATTGCCTCCATCCGCCATCCCATTTAGCATGGCTAACCCCCTAGCCGAGTCCATCGGGGCCACCTTCCCCGCTAACCCGCCCGCCCTCCCGCTGCATGGGGCCCTGGCCAGCAGCATGCCGCCCGGGGGGCTGCCCCCCCCGCCTAACCCACCCGGCCTGGCCCTGCCGCACCTCGCGGGGGGCTCGGCCGCCGCGCACAGCCCCGCCATCGTGGCCGCCGTGCAGGGAAGCCTCCTTCCCAACCCCGGCCTCCTCGCAGGTGAGACATTGGGGGGGTGGGGGGCTTCAGGGGGGGACTGGGGGGGGTCACTCACGGCGGGGAGGGATCCCCTCACCCATGCGCATCGGGCTGGAGCAGGGCAGGGGGGGGGCCTCGCTCAAACCTTCTCATGGGCGGTGGGCTACGCGGTGCGCTCGCACCCCTCCCTGTGTCGCCCCCCAGGTGTGACCCCCCCCCCCTTTTTCCTTTCCTTTTCTCTCCGTGCAGATCAAGGCCCCCCCCTGCAGACGGACCCCATCGCGCCCAGCCCCAGCACGGCCACCCCCGTCCCCCCCACGCAGTGAGCGCCCCCCAGGGCCGAGGACGCTGCACCCCGCGCCCCCCCGCCGCAGGCCCGGGGAGACCGGCCCCTCCCGCCCCCGCAAGACCCCAGAGGAAGCCCCCCCACCCCACCCCCCCCGCTTTGGTATTTTTTTATGATGATTGTCCCGGATTTTATTTAAGTGTTGGTCTCCCCGGGCGGGCCGGGGACCCTGCTGCACCCCGGCTATTTATGAGACAGCTCCAATCCCACCTGGCAACTGGGCATTCCCCCCCCCCCCCAACAACCCCCCCAGCTCCTTTTCTGTTTTTGTCCCCCCTCCCCAACCCCTCCCTACACCCCAATCTCCCTCTCTCCCCCTTCCCTTTTTTTTTTAAATAACAAAAATAAAATTCCAAGTCCCCGGGGCGGGAAGAAACGGCCTCGAGTGGCAGGGTCTGTGGGGGGGGCAGGGGGCTGCATGGGGGGGGGTCACACACAGGCTGAAGGACGCAGCATCTCTCCGCCGCCTCTTTATTCGCGGAGCAATAACTTAGCCGGTGGGGCTGGAGCGGTGGGGGGGGGGGGCGTGGGGGGAGCTCAGCAGTGCTGGGGGGGGGGGGGGACAATGGGGAAGGAAAAAAAAAAAAAATGGGGGGGGGGAAAGGCACAAAACCCAGACCGGGGGGTGGGGTGGGGGGAATGGGGGGGGTACGGAGGTCTTCAGCCGCTCAGCACCATCCGGACCAGCTCTGTGGAGAGAGGAGAAAACGCAGGGTGAGGGGGGGGCTCCGCGCCCCCAGCCCTCGTCCCGGAGAGAGGCAGGAGCCCGCAGCAGACCCCAGGCAGACGGAGGAGGAGAGGCGGCGGCACCGGGCGCTGCGGCTCCCGCGGGCACGGCTGCGGGCTCCATGCAGAGGGGCATGCGGGGGGGGCAGGGGCTGCACCGAGGGAGAAAGGGGGCGAGAGCGCAAACCAGGAGGCTTTGGAGGCTTTTTTTTTTTTTTTTTCTTTGCTTAAAAAGAAAAAAAAAATTCCACCCAAAAATTAAAAAAAAAAAAAGAAGAAAAAAATTAAATGAGGGAAAAAAAGGGAGGAAAAAAATGTTAAGTAAGTAACTGAAGGGGGAGCAGAGGATGGGAAGAGGCGTACCCCTGCGGCTTCACCCTGACAAGATGTGTCTCACAAACGCTGGGAGGAAGGAAGGAGATGATGGTCAGGGAGGGCTTGGGAACGGGGCTGAGCCCCCCTGGGACCCCCCTCCCCGGGGACCCCCCTGCCACCGGCCCGGCGCTCACCTTCGTAGTTGATGCAGCCGTTGCTGTCCTCGTGCCCGGCCACCAGCTGCTCCACCTCCTCCTCCGTCATCTTCTCACCTGCGGGACGGCGACGGGGTCACCTCGGGGTGGCCCTGGGGGAAACTGGGGAGGGGGTCCGGGAACCAGGGGGGGGTGGGTGCTCACCCAGGGTGACGAGGACGTGGCGGATCTCAGGCCCCCATGACGGTGCCGTTGCCCTCCTTGTCGAAGACCCGCAGCCCCTCCACGTAGTCCTCGAAGCAGCCCTGGTCCTTGTTCTTGGCGATGGTTTGCATCATGGGCAGGAACTGCTCGAAGTTCAGCGTCTTCAGGTTCATCTCTGCGGGGGGGACACGGAGCAACGTGGGTGGGGGCCAGGGGGCAGCGGTCCCGGGGTGTGGGGGGTGTATGGGGGGGGGGGGGGGCACTCACCATCGCTCTTGGGGTTGCCCAGCACCTTCATGACCTCGGCGTTGGTGGGGTTCTGGCCCAGCGCCCGCATCACGTCCCCGCACTGGCTGTACAGGATCTTCCCGTCCCCGGTGCGGTCGAAGAGCTGGAACGCCTCCTTGAACTCTGCGGGGTGCCCGCGTCAGGGGGGGGGCCGGGCACCCCCATGGGACCGTGCACCCCATGGGAGCCGGTGCTGCAGCGCCCTGCACCTCTGGGACCCCGTAACCCGCACCTACAGGACCCCATAAGCTACCCCTATGGATGCTGCGTGTACAGGACCCCAAAACCTGCTCCTAGGGACCCTGCACTTGCAGAACCCCGTAACCTGCTCCTAGGGACCCGGCACCTCTGGGACCCCACAACCTGCACCTACAGGACCCCATAACTTGCTCGTATGGATGCTACATGTACAGGACCCCAAAACCTGCTCCTATGGACTCTGCATCTATGGGACCCCATAACCTGCTCCTAGGGACCCTGCACCTCTGGGACCCCATAACGTGCACCTACAGGACCCTATAACCTGCTCTTAGTGACCCTGTAACTTGTTCTTATGGATGCTGCACCTACAGGACCCCATAACCTGCTGCTATGGACCCTGCATCTATGGGACCCCATAACCTACTCTTAGGGACCCGGCACCTCTGGGACCCCACAACCTGCACCTACAGGACCCTATAACCTGCTTCTAGGGACCCTGCATCTATGGGACCCCATATCTTTCTCTTATGAATGCTGCATGCACAGGACCCCATAACCTCTTCCTACAGACCCTGCTCCTATGGCCCATGCACCTCCAGGACCCCATACCACACACCGCTGCGATGCTGCAGCTGGAGGATGCTGTAAGCGGCACCAATGGGGCCAGGCACCACAGGACCCCCCCCCCGGGACCCCCACACCCCCAGGACCCCATCACCTGCACCCATCCCCCCCCCGGCCCAGCTCCCGTTTCCCATCGGGGTCCGGTTTCCCGTCGGGAACCCGACGCCAGCAGCCGGGGGGGGGGCTCCGGGAGCGCGGGGGGGCCCCTCCCGTGCAGGAAGGGCCGGGACCGCTTCCCGCCCCCCCCCCCCCCCCGCACCGGGGCGGCCCCGCCCCGCAGGAATGCGCGGCCCGGCCCCGCGCCGTGCCCATATAAGGGCAAATGGCGCAAGAGGCCCCGGAACCCCCCCGGCCCCCGGTGTCCCCCCCCCGAGCCCGGAGCCCCCCCCAGGGTCCCGAGCGCCCCCCCCCCCCCAAGCCCCGGGTGCGGCCCCGGCCCCCGCCCCGGTCCCGGAGCGACTTTGCCCCGGGACCCGCCCGGGCGGCGGCGGGCAGGAAGCGCGGGGAGCGGCGGGGCCGGGCCTCGAGGGGGGGGGTCCCGGGGGGGTCCCGGTGGTCCCGGGCACTCACCGGCGGTTTGCTCCTCCGAGAAGTCGCACTGCGGGGGGGGGGAGAGCGCGGCCGTCAGCGGGCACCGGCACCGGCACCGCCCGCGCCGTCGGGGCCCCCCCGCCCGGTGCCAGCCCCGAGCCCGCTCCCGGTTCCGGTGCCCCCCCCCCGCCCCACGCCCACCCCCCCATCACCCCCACCCCCCCCCCGCCCGGTGCCCGCCGCCCCCCGCCCGTCGCATCCCGGTTCCGGCCCCCCCCCGCACCCCCACCCCCCGTTACCCCCCCCGGTGCCGCCCCGCTCCCCACCATGTTGGCTCCGCTCCCGGTGCTGGTCCCGGTGCTGGTCCCGGTGCTGGTCCCGCTCCCCCCGCCCGGTGCCGGTCCCGGTCCCGCTCTGGGCCGCGGCCTCCGGGAGGCGCCTTTGTACGGCCCCGACGTCACCGCGCGCCCATTGGCTGAGAGCCGCTGACGTCACGGCGCGGTAATGAGCTCATGCATTATGCATGAGGGGGGCGGGGCGCGGGGAGGCCACGCCCCTTATCCCGGGGGGGATTTTTTGCCTATAGATGGGCAACGAGCGGGGCCGGGGGGGGCACCCGGGGGGGGGGGGGACCCCAATGGGGGATGGGCTGGGGGCACCTCCCCATGGGGGGGGGTCAGGGTGGGGGGTGGGGGGGGGGACACCCCTGGGAGGGGCACCCCGATGGCCAGAGGGGGTGGGGGCAGCCCTAGGGGGACACCCCAATGATAAGGACCCCCCCCACCAGTGCCCCCCCCCAAGGGCAGCACCCCACAGGGGACACCCCCACGGGGAGCATCCCCTAAAGGACACCCCACTGGGGAATATCCCGGTGGTGGCCCCCCCCCAGGGACACCCCCATGGAGACAGGGAGCTGGGGACACCCCTTCCCCCCCCCCCCAAGAACCATCCCGGTGATGGCATCCCCTAAAGGACACCCCCACGGAGAACACCCCGATACTTCACCCCCTAAGGGACACCCCAATAGGGAACATCCCGGCGGTGGCCCCCCCCGAGGGACACCCCCATGGGGACAGGGAGCTGGGGACCCCCCCCCAGGAACCATCCCCTAAAGGACACCCCCACAGAGAACACCCCAATACTGGCACCCCCTGAGGGACACCCCCATGGGGACACCCCAAAGACACCCCCCAAAGCTGGCACCCCCCCAAGTGGCACCAAGGTAGGGACCCCCCCCAGCAGGGGACACCCATGGGACAGAGCCCCCCCCCCCCGTGCCCCCCCCATACCCCAGGACCCCCATTAAGACACCGCCGTCTCCTCCCTCCTTTATTTGCTGGGCAGCGTGGGGGGGTCGCAGCCCCCCAAAGGCAGCGCGGGGGGGGGCGCGGCGGTGGCACAGCGGCGGGTGAGGGCGGCTCTGACAAAAGCAGCTCCCAGCAGTTTGGGGGGGGGGTGATGGGGGGGGCACACACAACCCCTGTGTCCCCCCCCCCCCCCGGCGCTGGGGGAGGTTTCTCGGTGGGTGAAGGCACGACATAAATAACAGTCTGCGCAGGCGGGGGGGCGGGGGGGCCGCGGGGCCCCCACCCCGGCTTCTTTGGTCAGTGGTGAGGCGGGGGGGATGTGATGGGGGGGGCAGCCCCCCCCAGTGCCCCCCACCCCTCGCACGGCCCCAGGCACAGTGGGGAGCAGGGGGTGGGGGGGGCGCGTTAGGGGCTGCTCCGCTCATCCCGCAGCTCATACCTGGGGGGGGGGGGGGAGATGGAGGGGATGAAATTGGGGGGGGGGGGGGCAGGAAGATAAAGGCAATGCCCCCCCCCAGACCCCCCCAGCCCCCCCCAGCCCCCCCCCACTCACCAGTGGGTTCCTCCCTCCGACAAATCCACCTGCGCCAGGTCCAGATGGAGCTGGGGGAGAGCGGGGGCTCAGGGGGGGCTCTGTGCCCCCCCACACCCCCCTGAGCCCACCCGACCCCCCCCTCCCCGACCCCCCCAGCCCCCCCCCGACCCCCCCCCTACCTTCCCCAGCACCTCCTTCTCGCGGGCCATGAAGGAGCCGCTGGCTTTGACCTGCGCCTCCAGCTTGCGCCGCACGGCCTCCTCGGGGGGCACGTCCCACTCGAACCTGGGGGGGCCATGGATTTTTGGGGGGGGGGTGAGGAGCACCGGGACGGGCTGGGCAGCCCCCCCCCGGCCCAGGGAGGCCCCCCCTCACCTCTCGTTGAATTCGGGGTTCAGGGTCCTCCTCTGCACGCCCGTCTTCCTCTTGGTGCCGCGGCTGCGGTCGGGCAGCAGCACCAGGGACACGTAGGGGTCGGGCAGCTCCTTGGACAGCGCCTTCAGCTGCCTGGGGGGGGGCATTTCGGTATGGGGGGGGGGTCACGGTGCTGGGGGGGGTCCCCTGCTCTGAGCAGCCCCCCCTCCGTGCTTACCTGCAGCCGTGCACGATGGCCACCAGCTTGCGCTCGTCAGCGTGGTACCAGAGCGTCGAGCTGCAGGCGCGGCCCCCCCGGCTCCTGCTCCGTGCGGCTTTGGGGGGGGGGGCACAAAAGGGGGTGGGGGGGGGGACAAGCTGAGGCTCTGAGCGGCCCCATCGCGATCCCAGGGGTGCCCCCCCCCTCCCCCAGCCTTACCTCTCAGTCGGGGGCAGGCGCTGCCGCAGGGCCCCCCCCCCGGCCCCGCTCTCCTCCTCCTGCCCCCCCGCCGCCACCTCCAGGGGCTCGGGGTCCCCCCCCGGCACGGGGGCACCTCCGGCCCCCACCCCCGAGTGCTGCGACACCAGGACCTGGGGTGGCCGAGAGGGGACGGGGGGGGGTGAGGAAGGTGCTGTCTGTGCCCCCCCCACCCCCCCCACCCCCAAAATGCCCCCACTCACCCCGAGCTGTGCCCGCAGCAGGACCTGGCTGCGGGGCCCCCCCCCCGGAGAGAGGGAGCCACCCGTCCAGGGTCAGCGCCTCGGTCCCCCAGCAGCCGGGACAGGGGGAGGCTGAGCGAGCCCAGGGGCTGCCCCCCCTCGTCCTTCACCTGTGGGCGACAGCGGCTCAGAGCCCCCCCCCCCCTCAGGACCCCCCCCCCCCAAAGACCCCCCCCCCAGGGAGGGGGGCACCCACCTGCAGCTCCAGCACCTCCACGTGGGGCCGCTTGATGAGGAAGGAGAAGCCTTCATCCCACACCGGCTCGGCACTGGGGGCGCAGGTCTGGGGCGGGGGGGGGCAGAAGCAGTCAGCAACCCCCCCCCACGGAACCCCCAGACCCCCCCAGACCCCCCGGACCCCCCCAGACCCCTCGTCCCACCTTGGTTTTGAAGGAGACGTCGCGCACGGCCAGGCTGGCGAAGGCAGGCAGGGCGGCTTGGAGCCCTTGCGGAGCTGGGGGGGGGGACACAGCGGTTGAGGGGGGGGGGCAACGAGGGGGGGGGAGGACTGGGGGGGGCCTGGGGGGGGGGCAGAGACCCCCAGCAGGACTCACCGGGAGGTCGGCGGCGCGGTCGAGGAAGACGGAGAGGAGCGCGGCCGAGAGCTCCTCGCCCCGGGAGGGCTGCAGGAGGCTGTTGGCGTGCAGCACCTGGGGGGGGGCACCACGGGGGGGGGGCAGGCACCGAAGGGGGGGGGCACAGGGAGGGAGGGGGGGGGGGCAGTGAAGGATGGGGGGGGGGCAGTGAGGGTGGGGATGGGGACAGGTGGGGGTGTGCAGAAGGGGGATGGGGGAAATGGGGAGGGGGGTGAGGATGAGGGGGGGTGGGGGGAATGGGCCCGGCCCAGGGCCCCCCCCCGGTGCCCCCCCCGCCCCCCCAGCCCCGTACCTGCTCCAGGAGGGCGGCGCTGGGGCTCGGCTCCAGGCGCTCCAGCCGCACGTGCAGGCGCCCCGACTTCACCTCCTCCAGGGGCAGCCACTGGGGGGGGGGGGGGAGGGAGAAGCCGGGTGAGACCCCCCCCATGTGCCCCCCCCCCCCCCCAGGTGCCCCCCCCACCTCCCCCCGTGCCCCCCCCCAGCCCCTCTCCTACCTCATCCACGAAGCGGCTGCTCAGCACCCGGCGCAGCGGCACCTTGCACCTGGGGAGGGCAGGGGGGGAGGAATTGGGGGGCGTGAGGGGGGGTCCCACCGCTGATAACCCCCCCCTCAGCCCCCCCCGAGCCCCCCAGCCCCCCCCCAGCACCCACCTGCCCAGGAAATCATCCTTATCAATGTCCTTATCAAAGAGGTCGAACTCCACGTCCTGCCCCGGGACGTTGTCCACCACCACCTGGGGACGGGGAGGGGGTCACCGAGGGGCCCCCCCCCCACAGCACAGCCACGCTCTGGGGGGGTCACAGCCCTCCCCCCCCCCCCCAAACCTCGTAGATCTCGTTCCAGCGGGGGTTGAGCTCCTCCTTCACCACGCGGCTGCGGAACGCCCGCCCGGCCACGCGCACCTTGGCGTAGGGGTCGGAGCGGCCCCGAACCATCCCCCCCAAAAAATTGTCCTTGGCCACCAGGTCCTCGGCTTCCAGCAGGTGGATCCGCAGCACGGCCTGGGGGGGGGACACAGGGACGGGGGGGGGGGGACACAGGGATGGGGACACGGACATGGGGAGGGGGACACAGGGACACGGTGTTTTGGGGTACCGGGCACAAGGGGGGTCCTGCCCCGCACACCCTGTCCCCATTCCCCCAGCCCTACCCCCCCCCCCTCCAGGACCCCCCCAGCCCCTCAGCTCCATCCTGCCCCCCCCCCAGCCCCCCCCATTCCCACCTCGGTGCCAAACTGGGGGTCCGGACTGGCCTTACTGGGCCGCCGTGCGCTCTCGGTGCTGGCACCGGCACCCACGGGGAGCTCCAAGGTGCCCGGGGGGGCACCACCTTCGGGGGCGTCCAGATAAAGAACCTGTGGGCGTACGGGGGGGGGGGTCAGCGGGGTGAGGAGGGCCCCCCCTTCCCCCAGCCCCCCCCCCACCCCCCGAGCCCCTCACCCTGAGGACCAGCTTCATGTAGAGGCGGCTGCAGGGCCCCGAGTGCTGCAGGGGGAACGGCTGCGCCAGGGTCAGCTCCGGAGCCTGCAGCAGGCGAGAGAGGGGCACGGACACGGAGCCCAGGGAGCCCTGCCGGGGGTCGTCCTTCACCTGGGGGGGGGCACGGGGGGGGCACGGGGAGAGAGGGGAGAAAAGGGGGTGAGAGGGAGAAAAAGGGGAGGAGGGGGAAAAGGGGGGAATGGGGAGAAAAAGGGGGTGGGGGGGGAAGGATGGGAGGGGGAGAGTGGGGGAAGGATGGGGGGGGCACGGGGGGGCACGGGGGGGGCACGGGGGGGGCAAGGGGAGAAAAGGGAGAAAAGGGGGTGAGAGGGAGAAAAAGGGTTGCGGGGGGAAAAGGGGGGGAACAGGGAGGAAAAAAGGGGGTGGGGTGGGGTAGGGGGTGGGGGGAGAGGGGGGGAAGGATGGGGGGGGAGAGGAGGGGAAGGATGGGGGGGGCACGGGGGGGTAAGGTGGGATTTGGGGGAAGGATTTTTGGGGAGCATTGGGGGATAGGGATAGGATTTTGGGGGGTATGGGGTGTAAGGGAAGGATTTTTGGGGAGTGGGAGAAGGATTTTGGGGGGAGCGTGGGGGGATGAGGACAGGATTTTGGGGGGGGGGCACGGGGATGGGGGCAGGATTTTAGGGGCAGGATTTGGGGGGGCACACGGGGAATAGGGGCAGGATTTGGGGGAAGCACAGGGCGAATGGGGGCAGGATTTTGGGGGGGGAGCATGGGGGGAATGGGGGCAGATTTTTTTTTTTTTTGGGGGGGGGGGCTGGGATCCACCTGGATGTCCACGTCCTGGTTGGCGGGGTCGTGCAGGAAGAAGCGGAAGGCGTCCTCCCAGACGGGGGAGCACGTGTTGTACACCACCTGGGGGGGGGGGGGGCGATGTAAGAGGACCCCCCCCAGCCCCCCCCCAGCCCCCCCCTCCCCTCCCTGGGGGCCTCATTGTGCCCCCCCCCCACCTTGCTCTCCCTCGTCACGTCCTGCACCGACACCTGCACCACGGGGTTGGGCTCCTTGCCCGGCTTCTTCATCTAAATGGAATTTTTTTTTGGGGGGTGGGGGGGTCAGGGGGCACCTCGTAGCCCCCCCCCTGATCCCCCCCCCCCCAGAACCCCCCCCACACTCACGGGCAGCTCCTGCGCCCGGTCCAGGTACACCACCAGGATGGCTGCTGAGGGGGGGTCGGGCTTGGCGGCGATCGTGTGGTTCCTCTGCAAAACCTGGGGGGGGGACAGCGGGAAGGGGGGGGGGCGTTAAGTGTGGCAGAGCCCCCCCCGGCCCCCCCACCCCCAGCCCCTCACCTCCGGCAGCTTGGAGGCGTCGGACAGCAGCGTCAGCCACTCCAGGCGCAGGTGGAGCCGGCCCTGGCCCCCCTCCTGCAGCGGGAACCACTTGGGGGGGGGGCACAGCGGGGTCAGCATGGCCCCCCCCCTGTGCCCCCCCCCCCTCCCCAAATCCCACCCACAGCCCCCTCCTCACCTCGTCCAGCACCCGCGCCTTCAGCACCTCCCCGAAATCCAGCTTCATCCTGGGGGGAGCAGCCGTGAGCTCAGGGTTTTGTGTTGTTTTTTTTGGGGGGGGGGTTGTTGTTTTTTTTTTTGGGGGGGGGGCTGAAGCCCCAGGGGTCCCCAGCCCCTCACCTGCCCAAGAGGTCGTCCTGGTCGGGGTCCTTGTCGAACAGCTCCACCTCCATCTCCTGCCCCGGCACCTCGTGCACAATGAACTGGGGGGAGAGGGGGGGTGAATTGAGGGGGGGGGGCACAGGGGGGGGGTCCTTAGTCCCGGGGGGGTCCCCTCGGGGTGCTCCCACACCCAAACCCACCGGGGGCCACCCAAAAACCCCCCCACACACCGCAACCCCCTGGGGGTTGGGACAGAGGGATCCCCACAGCCCCCCACCTTTTGCGGGGGGGGGGTCACAAACCAACACGGGATGGGGGGGGGGGCACACTTGGGGGGGGGGGTCCTCACCTCGTAGACCTCGTCCCAGGTGGGGTTGAGCTCGTTGGGGACCACGCGGCTGGTGACGAGCTGGGTGCCCACGCGCAGCACGGCGTAGGGGTCCGACTTGCCCTCCACCAGCCCCCCCATGAAGCGATCCTTGCTCCGCAGCTCCCGGGCACCCAGGAGGTGCACGCGCACCACGCCCTGCAAGGGGGGGGTCAGATGGGGGCCAGGACCCCCCCCCCCAACCCCATACACCCCCCCCCACAGCCCGTACCCGGGGCAGGGGGCAGCGGAGCTGCGCAGCCTCGTGCAGGTCGGGCACCAGCGGCACCAGCAGGCGGTTGGGCAGCACCAGGTAGGAGGCGATGGTGTCCATGATCATCGTGTCCGACACCGAGCTGGGGGGGGGACAAGATTTGGGAGGGGGGGGGCCATGATTTAGCACGGCCCTGGGGGCTGGGAACCCCCCCCCCGTTAGCGCTGGGGCTCACCTGAGCCCCGGGATGTCCAGCAGGTTGGTCATCCCCGTCCAGTTGATGTCCAAAGTCTGGGGTTTTGGGGGGGGGGCAGAAGGGGTTTGGGGGGGTCAGAGGGGTTGGGGGACCCCAGCCCCATCCTGCCTGGGGGAGCTGGGGGCTGTCGGTCCCCCGGGGGGGGCACTCACCGGGCGCCGGATGAAGAACATGGTGAGGGCCCCCACGATGGGCACGTCCCCCAGGAGGGGCTCCAGGATGATCCGCAGCGTCCCGTGGAGCTGGGGGGGGGCAGCGCTGAGATGCAGACCCCCCCCCCCATCACCTCACAGCCCCCAAAACAGCCCCCCCCCTCACCTGCATGCCCTTCACCCCCGCCTTGCAGAAGAATTTCTTCACCTCCACGTCGATCTGGACGTCACCCACGTAGCTGGGGAGAGGGGACGTGGCGAGGGGGGGGCCGTAGCAGGACCCCCCCCTCATCCCGCTGCCCCCCCCCCAAAACAACGAGGGGAAGCCCCAGCAGCTCTGGGGGGGGGTCTCTGCCCGCTCACCTGATGTTGAGGTCCAGCAGGATCTGCCTCTTGTGGGTGCCAGGGTGTGCCCGGACCCCCAGCACCCGGAGGGGCTGCGGAGACAGCGGTGAGGGAGGGGGGGCAATGGGGTGGGGAGGGGCTGATTTGAGGGGGGGGGGGAGGTGACAAGGTGACAGGGGGACGGGGGGGGGGGACGGGGGGAGCCCCCTCCTACCTTCTCGCCCATGTCCACCTTGGTGAAGGTGAAGGTCTGCAGGTGGTTGTTGGAGGCGCGGATGGCCGGGGCGATGCTCTCCGTCAGCAGCTTCTCCATGTACTGCCCGAAAAACGGCCAGGCCTGCGCCAGGACCTGCGGGACGGACGGACGGAGGGAGGGACAGAGGGACAGACGGACAGACAGAGGGATGGACGGACAGACGGACACACAGCGGGGATGAGCGCCCAGCCATACAGCGGTCCCCATGGTTTTGTAGGGCCGTGCTCCTCACCTTGTTCAGCCATTCCGCCCTCTCCACGTCCGGGAAGCTCACCTGGGGGGTGGGGGGGGGGGACAGATGGGGGGGCACCTTATGAGCCCCCCGGTGCCGCGGGGGGGTCGGTAACTGCCAGCCCCGTGCCTCAGTTTCCCCCCCCCCCCCCTCCCCGGGCTGTGCCCAACTCTTGGCCGCAGCCTGGCTCCTTCTGGGGGTCCTGGGGTGGGGGGAACCATGGGGGGGGGGGTCCCGGCCCCCCCCCCAGCCTCCCCGGGGGGGGGATGTGGTCTCTGCGGTCGCCCCAGGCTGCAGGCAGGCAGGAAGCGGCCCCCCCCCGAGCCCCGTGAGTCACGGCACGGCGGAAGCCGCGGGAGATAACGGATTGCGGGCACGGGCACCCCGGGGGGGGCACAGGGTGGGGCTGGGGGGGGGGGAGGCAGCGGGGTCCTGGGGGGAGCGGAACCGGGGGGGGGACCTCGGGGCCGGAGCGGGGGTGGTGCAATGCGGCGGGGGGCTCCGGGGGGGGGGGGGGGGGGGGGGCGAAAGGGACAGAGCTGCGCAGCGGGGGCTGGGCGGGGAAACGGGACCGGGAAGGGGAACGGGGACGGGACCGGGACCGGGACCAGGAAGGGGATGGGGACGGGAAGGGGATGGGGAACGGGGACGGGACCGGGGGGGGAACGGGAAAGGGATGGGGATGAGGATCGGGACCGGGACCGGGAAGGGGATGAGGAATGGGGACAGGAAGGGGATGGGGACCGGGACCAGGAAGGGGATGGGGAACGGGGACGGGACCGGGACGGGACCGGGACCGTAACGGGAGCGGGAACGGGACCGGCCCCCCCGCCCCGGGCCGCAGCCGCCGCCCTCCCGCTGCAGGCGGCGTCTCCGGGCGGTCCCCGCGGGCGGTCCCCGCTTACCCAGGCCGGCAGCTCCCCGCGGGCCGCTCCCAGCCCGGCGGCGGCGGCTCTCACGGCCGCTTCCTCGTCGCTCTGCAGGCGGGCGGCCAGGCTCAGCCCCCGCTGCCGGGCTCGCCGCCGCCGCCTCCAGCCGGCGTACAGAGCCAGCGCCAGCAGCACCGCGCCCGCGCCCAGCCCCAGCAGCCCCGCGGCGTAGGCGGGCAGCGCCCACAGCAGCCGCCGGCCCAGCGCCGCCAGCGCCGCCGCGCCCAGCCCGGGGCCGGGAGCGGAGCCGGGACCGGGACCCGAACCCGCGCCCCGCGGCTCCATCGCGCCAACACTGGCCACGCCCTCCCGCTGGCCACGCCCACACCGCTCGGTGACCACGCCCCCCAACAGACCACGCCCACTCCCCCCCTCAGACCACGCCCCCCGCTCCCTATTGGCGCCCAGGACCGGAGTGCCGCGCGCTGATTGGCGCTGCGCGGAAGGGGCGGGGCTCTCGGGGCGCGCTGCTCCCCCCCCTCCCCTCCTCTCCCCTCCTGGGACCCCGCCCGTGCCCCCCCCCCGGCCATAATTATTAAATTCCTGCCCATATCGCCATTTGCCCTTTTTTGGAGCGGCCGCGGGGCCACGGCTTCAGGGCCTGTGGGGAGGGGGCAGCCCCGGGTCCTGAGCGCCCCCCCCAAGATCCTGAACCCCCCCCAGGCCCTGAGCCCCTCCCCAAGGTCCTGAACCCTCCCCAAAAGGTCCTGCCCCCCCCCCTCCCCCAACAAAGTCCTGCCCCCCCCCTTTCGGTTCTTTGCCCCCCCCCACTGACTCCCACGTTGGTGCAGAGCGCACGCAGGTCGCGTCCTTTAATAGCTGAAAACATTACACGGGCTGGGGGGGGGGCACAACACCGGGACAGGGAGCGGCCGGTGCTGCCCCCCCCCCGGCCCCCCCATGGCCGTGCCACAAGCCCTGGCACTGAGGCTCACAGCCCCCGGAGCTGGGGGCTTAGTCCAGAGCAAGGCTCCCCCCTCGCGGCTGTCCCTCTGTCCTGGGGGGGGGGGCAGCGGAGGGGCTGGGGTCACCACGAGGCCCCCACACGCCGCGCCCCCCCCCCCCCGTTAACCCCCATTTCCCTGAATTCGCCGTCACGCCAAAGCCCACGCACGGCTGCTCGGGGTTAACGGTGGCCACAGCCACCCACTGGGGGGGCGCCCCATTTCCTGCGCCCCCCCACCCCCGAAGCCTGGAGCCCCCACAGTTTCTCCATCCCACGCTGGGACTCGGCTCCCGCTCGCCTCCTGTCCTCGCCCCCCCCTCCCGAGGCGGGATGCGCTGCGGGGGGGTCAGTGCGGCATGGCCGTTATCCGCATGCTCTGCGAGGCGATGGGGTACGTCACCATGGGGGTGGTGGCGTGGCTCATGGTGATCCCCCCCAGCGGCTGCGCCATCGACACGGCCACCGGAGCCACCGAAACGGCCACCGGGGCCATGGAGACCGGGGGGGCCATGCCCTGGGCGATGGTCTGCGCCAGGGCGGCCGAGAGCGGTGTGATTTCGGGGTTCATGGGGGGGGCGGCGTTGGCCGGGGGCGCCGCCTGGGCGCCGGCGGGGGCGACCAAATCCTGTTGGGAAACGGGCCGGGGCTGCAGGGCCTGGCTGCTGAGCGTGGTGTGCGTCTGCGCGATGCTGTGGTTGTAGTTGGTGACGGTGCCCACGGTGGGGGCCAGAGTCTGCTCGGTGGCCGTGGCGGTGGAGCTGAGCGTCATCACCTTGGCCTGGTTGCGGAACTGCGCGTTCTGCTCCAGCAGCACCTCGTTGGTGGCCAGCAGGTTGTTCACCTGCTTCTTCAGGTCCTCCACCCGCTTGCGCAGCATGATGTTCTCCTCCTCCAGCAGCCGGTACTCCACCGTCCGCGGGCTGGTGAAGCTGTACTCGTAGGTGTCGAAGTGCAGCCCGTCCACCCGCCGCCGCTTCAGCACGGGCTCGTGGTCGTCGTAGCGGTCGGGGTCGTAGATGGCGTCGTAGCGGCGCACGGCGGTGCCCAGGCCCTGCTCGCGGGCGGCCATCCCCCGCGCCTCGTACTCGTAGTCCCGCTGCAGGTGCTGGAACTTGCACTTGGCGCCCCGCTGGCAGTCGCCCTTCAAGAAGTCCCTGCAGATGGGCACCTCCTCCTTGCTGTTGGGCAGGTCGGCGGGGGAGAGGCCGAGGCCGGCGGCCACCTTCTGCCGCAGGCGCGGGGGCAGCTCGCCCGTCTTCTTGTAGCAGTCCTCGTCCTCCTTGGTGCCGTGGATGAAGCGGCAGTTGAGGCGCACGCACTCCTTGTTCTGGAAGTCGTGGCAGAAGATGAACTCGTTCTTGCGCACGCCCAGGTTGGTCACCTCGCTGATGTCGGGGTGCCGGAAGCGGCAGCGTTTGCCCCGCTTGCAGACGTTGCGCAGGAAGTCGCGGCAGATGTCGTCCTGCGTTGGCGCCCACCTCATCGCCGCCGCCGCCGCCGTTGTTGTAGCCGTCCCGGTCGGGCATCTTCCGCCGCCGCCGCCGCTGCGGGGGCCGCCGGCCTCGGGGCACTGCGGGAAGGAGGAAGGGAGGGAGGGGGGCGGGCAGGGTGAGCAGCGGAGCAGCAGCACCGGGGGGCACCGGGCGGCCCCCACCCCCCGGCAGCCCCGGGCACCGCGGGCAGGGGACGGCGCGGCCCAGGCCCGGTGCGGCCCCGGGAGGCTCCAGGAGTCACCGGTAGAGCCCGGGCAGCCCCGCGCGGCCGCCGCCCGGTGCCGGTGCCCTCATGAGGGCGGCCTACTACGGGACCCAGGAGCCGCCGGGGCACCGGGGCCGCCGTCCCGTGACGCCCCGCAGGGCCCGGGTCCGGTCGCACCGGGAGGGGCGGTGGGGGCGCGGTTCCCCCCCCCCCGGGTCGCCATGGCAACCGCCCGCAGGCCCGGGGCAGGCCCGGAGCGGGGCCTGGCGGGGCCCGGTTCGCAACGGAGCGGCCGCGGCCGCCTCGAGGCCCCGGGGGGCGGCGCGGGGGCGGCCCCCGGTGTGGGAGCGGCCCCGCCCGGTGCGGCGCGGCCCGGCCCGGCCCCGCACTCACCCGCTCGCGGCCTCCTCGCGGGTCCTCCAGCGCCAACAATGAGCGGCCCCTTCCGGCTGCCGCTCTGCGCCGGGCCGGAAGTGCTCTATGGTGCTTCCGGGGCGACCCGGAACAAGCCTCGGGGCATTTCCCGGCGTGCCGCTGCGGGGCTCCCGCTCCTCTTCCCGCTCCGTGACGTCACAGCCGCGCGCCGCCGGCCCGGTGCCACCCCCCCTCGGCCCCGGCTCCGCCGCCCCCCGGCCCCGAACCCAGCCCCGGCCCGGGCACGGAGCGCTCCGGGCCCCGCCCGCCGCCCCCCCCCCCCCGGCTCCTCCACGTGGCCCCAGCACCCGGGATCCGGTGCCCGGTCCCTGCCCCCGGTGCCCCCCGGTCCCTACCGGCGCCCCCCCCCCGCCCCCGGCCCCCCCCAGCAGCAGCAGCAGCCTGCATCCAACGAACACATCCAAGCTTTATTGGCGGCCCCGGGGCCGTTACACAGCGCAGCCCCGGTCCCCACGCGGCCCCGCCGCCAGCTCCCCGTGCTGCTCCCCCGCGGCTCCTCCGCTCCGGGGCTCCGGGGCCGGGCGCGGCGCCTACTTGGACCTCTGCCGCATCTTCCTCCTCTTGCGCTTCAGCCTAGGGGACAGACGCGGAGCGGCGCTCGCACACCGGGCACGGGGCCGGTGCCGCCGCCGGGTTTCCCCCCCCCCCGCCCCCGGGCCTCGGCCCCATGGAAGGGGCAGCGCCAGGCCCGGGGATCCCGCGGGGAGCCCCCCACCCCGGGAGCCCCCTCCCCCCCCCCCACCTACCTGCGCATTCGCTTCTTGCGCCACTGCGGAGAGAGGAGAGCAGCCGGTGAGTGAGCGCGGCCGGGACCCGGCACCCCGGGGCTCCCCTGCACGGCCTCGCAGAGCCCCCGGACCCCTCCGACCCCCCCAAGCAGCCCCCGGGCCCTGCACCTGCTCCCGCTGCAAGAGGGGCACCGGAACACCCCCCACACACAGCCCCGGTTCCCTGGGACCCTCCCCACCCCGACACCCCCCGAGCACCCAAAGACCCCCCCGGCACTGCGGGACCCCCCCAGCGATCCCCCAGCACCACGGGGACCCCCCTCAGGGCCTGCCCAGCACCCAGGGACCCCCTCAGGGCCCGTCCCCTCCTGGCACCCCCTCAGGACACCCCCAGCACCCAGCGACCCCCTCGGGGACCATCCTCCCCCTGGCACCCCCCAGCACTGAGGGGCCCCCCCCGAGAACCCCCCACCCAGAGACCCCCTCCTTCTCCGGCACCCCAGGCACCTGGACACCCACCCCCCTCAGGGACCCCCCAGCACCCGGAGGACCCCCCTCAGGGTCTGCCCAGCACCCAGGGACCCCCTCGGGCACCGTCCCCTCCTGTTACCCCCCAACACTGAGGAACCCCCCCCGGGACCCGCCACCCAGGGACTCCCCGAGACCCTCCAGCACCCAGGGTCCCCCCGAGACCTCCCCCTCAGGGACCCCCTTCTCTCCCGGTACCTGGGGACCCCCCTCAGGGCCCCCCCCCCCAGTCCCTCAACACCCAGAGCCCCCCCCAAACCCCAGCACCCCCCCCAGGCCTCATCCAAGGCCGCATCACGCTCCGAGGCGCCATCGGCCGCCCCCCGCCGCTCACCTTGGCCCTCATGGCGGCGCGGGGCCGCCCCGCTCAGTCCCGGCGGGCGGCGGCGGCGTTAACGGCGGCTCCAACGGCGGATGGCGGCGGATGGAGGCGGGCGGCGGCAGCGGCCGACAAAATGGCGGCGGCCGAGAGAGGCCGCGAGCGCCCCGCCGGGGCCTATTTATAGGCGGGCGCCGAGTCCCCGCCCCCTGCGCGGGGCACGACGGGAGGCGCGGGCGCCCCGTGGGGCATGACTGGGAGATGTAGTCCGCGCGCCGGCCGCCATTTTGCACGGCGGGAGAGAGCCACCGCCCCCCCCACACCCCTCAGGGGGTTATTGGGGAACAAAGGTGGCGCGGGGGGGGCTTCTCGGGAGATTTCCCACGTTTTAAATAATTGGGTGGGTTCTTGTCTTAGGTTCAGCGTTATTTTTTTTAAAGTAGAACATTAAATAAACCTGCAGCCAGCCCCAGAGGCGCACAGACCTGGGGCGGGGGCTGAGGTGAAAGGTTGGGCCCGCCGCCCCCCCACAGCAGGCAATGGAGAGAAAATTGCTTTAAAAACCCCAAAAGAAACCCTAAAACATTCCTGCTGGGGAACGAGGTTGGGGTTCCTCCCCCCCACACCCCCCAACCTGCCCCCAGGCCCCCAGGGAGCTGAAGGGGGGAGAAGAGGAGCAGAGAGGTGGAAAAATCAGGAAAAAAAAAGTTATCGCATCGTTTATTCTTTTATTGGCTTTGGTTGTATCTGCACGTGTGGCGCTGAGGCAGGCCCCAGCTGGCGGCGGGAAGAGCGGTGTCTGTGGAGGAACAGCCACCGGCTGGGGCTGGGGGGAATTTTCCCCAAATCACCTCCAGGAGAGGGAGCAGAGACCCGATGCGCAGGTATCGGTACAGAAAAACACCTCACACGTTCAAATTCATGAAATTCAATCAGCTTTTTTTTTTTTTTTTTCTTTTTAAAAAAAGAACAGAAGACCCACTAGAAAAGAGCGGTACCCCCGGCTGGACTCTAGCCCGAGTCTGCTGCAGCGTTTCCCTCGCCTCCTGCCCCCACGAGCGCGTGCAGGCAGGACGTCCTTCCAGGAGCCAACACACATAGAAGAGTGGAACGCACTCACGGGCCATGGAAACCAGCCACGAGGAAGAAGAAAACACCCCAGGGCATCAGGGAACTCAAACAAAGTGGAGAGCAGCAGGCACGGCCCCGGAGCCGCCAGCTCGCCTGCCTCCTGCCCCTCCGCAGAGCCGTCAGGTGGGGAATGCCGATTTGCTTCCTTTCAGGTTGGGCAGTCAATTTAAAAACAAGCTCACCACAGCGGTGTATTAAAAAATAGAGCGTTTATACGTAAACCAAGGCAGAGACAGAGCGCGGTAGACAGGACAGCCTACAGTCTCACAGGGGACACAAAATTTGGTGGGTTTCCAATGAGAAACGTACAATCTAGAGGCTAAAAGAAAGTGAGAAATCCTCTGCCCCAAGGTAACAGACAGAAATGCCTACGCGGCTGGGGAGGAGCTGAGATAGCGCTGCGAGGCAGGTCACCTTACACCGTACGCGCGTACCATATCACTAAACACAGGTCACTTTTTCTCGGGCGTAATCTGTTTGTTTTTTTTTTTTTTTTCCTCCAATAAAATCTGTAAAGGGAGAAATTAAAAAAAAGGGAGAAGGCAGAAGGAGAAAGCAAGCAGCTCTCTGCACTCCCTCTCCCTGGGAACGGCTTAGTTGTTCACCTCTTTAAGTATGAGTAGTATAAAAGGTTAGAAAGAGTGGATATAGACTAGCTTTTACTCCTCATTTTGTTTTCCTGCTTTATTTTTAAGTAGTCTGAAGTGGCTGAGAGAATCCTCCCTCATTGGCAAAGTCAATAGGAGCTGGTTGTTGTCAGTGGGAAGTCCAGACTGTTTGTCGTTTGGTCGTAAGAGACAAACAGTGCTAGATTTTCTTTCTTTTTTTCTTTTTTTTTTTTTGGGGGGGGGGAAAGGGGCGAGTGTGTGTGAAGTGGGTGCTACATGGAGGGAGCGGGAGCCCCTCAGTCGCCAGCCTCGTTCTCCTCCGCCGTCTCTCCCGTGGTGGCATTCTCTGCGTTCTTGGAGGCCTGCGGAAACAAACCCAGGGCAGCTGTCAGGACGGGGACATGTTTGGGGACACCGGCGAGGGGCAGAGCGACCACAAAGCTGTGAGGGCGCCCACCCGAGGAGCCTCACTGGGAGGAAAAGAGGGTGTGGGTGCCTCGAGGGTGCCTCTTCCTGCAGCAGGGGAACACCAGCCTCTGCTCTCTCAGCGCTGCACTGAGGCGAGCCCGAAACACAACCACACGGGAACTTGGTGAAGTTTGGGTGCTGCTGATTGGCTGCCAGCAATCCCACAAAACGTGACCGAATTACCTTCTTTTTCTTCTTTTTCTGGGTCTTCCGGCTTGCAGAACTTTGTAGAAGGGCCTGGAGACAGGAAGGAAACGTAAGAAACTAGAAAGCCAAACTATTTTTTTTTTTCTTTGACAGGAGATAAAGGGCTTTAAATGCCTTTACAGCAGGAGGAGCGCCGCCAGCCCCCGAAGGAATGGTGGTAAGTCCTAACGGGCATAGCAGCAGCGGGGAATGCCGCGGCCCCGCGCTCCCCTGAGGCACGAGGCCTTGGAGGCAGCTGTCGGGGCTGCTCAGCAGCTCCTAGGAAGGGGCTGGCACCGCTGCCACGAGCTGAAGCTTGCGTTTGATACAGGAAATAAGAGCCCAAACTGGGCTAAAACACGTTTCTGCTGGTGCTGCGGGGCTGCAACGAGCCACTGATCTGCACCACGACTTACTGCTGCCCTCGGACGTGCCGGCAGCCTGGCTGCAGGGGCTGAGCTTTTCCTTTTTTAAGCTCCTGCTCACCCCCTCTCCATCCAGTCTCCTGGACTTTACTTCCCACCTTCATCCCGAGGGGCAGAAACACAGGGCAACCCACGAGTTTAAAAGAAAACTTACGTTTTTTTTAAACTAACCTTCAGTTCTCCATCTTGCACCTCAAACTCCGACTTGTAGAGCTCAGGCTCGAAGGGGCCACTTGTTATCCTCATGGGGCCAGTTGGGCATTAAAAGCACTGTGAATTTGAACTGTGCAACAAACTCTCCTGCAAAGCAGAAATGGGCGTCACTACCAGCCCCCGGGCACCTGACGGTGCTGTTTCAGTTCCTGTCCCATTTTCCATTCCCAAACCATCACGGCTACAAAACCACCCCGCGGGACCTCCTCAGACCAACCCTGACCAGGGCAAAACCTCAGCAGCACCCCGCGGCCCCTCCAGCTCCCTACACGAACTGGAGGGCTTCAGCTGGCAACCTCTCCTCCTGCCCAGGAAATCACTCCATGAAAAACTTCATCTCCTCGCTGGAACGATTCCAAACCAAGGCCCAGAAGCCAGCAGGGAGTGAGTTTTTTCTGGGAGGACGGATGCCAGGGCCCTTAAAGTGCACCCCTGGCATTTGTGCCACCACATGGCCAGCCCCGGTGTCACCGGCCTCGGGAAATGACCCCCAGCTGTCGGCTCCACGGGCACCCCCAGCCCTCCCACCGGCAGCACTCACCTTCCTTTTCGTAGAGGACATTGAAAGGCTGGAGCAGCTCGTGTTTGGCGCATTCCACCACCCCCATCCTGGCCTTCTTCTCATCCTCAAATGCCCTGCAGAGGAAAAGGAGCCACAGCTGAGCCAGATCCCACCCCCCAGGCTTCAGAATTGCCCCCGGGGTCAGGCTGGGGACTTCCTTCACTTGCGTCTCCCCTGGTGGTGCTGCGTGTGCTGCAGTGACAGAACAGTTGGTGAGAGCAGGCACCTGCTGGGTGTCTACGGCCCTCTGAGAGTGGAAAAGGATTTAAGGACAAAGACAGCCTGTCAGGTGGACGTTGCTTCCTTATTTTGAGAGTAAATCATGTGCAAAAATTGCTTGGAGCTGCCTCCCCTCCTCACGCTGCACCCTGGCACTGCTTCACTCCTCTTTATTTTAGCCACAACTCCGGGCTCCCCGCCTGCCACGCAGGGCACAGGAGATTCTCGATCCTCGGACTGAGCCTGGGATTCCTGCTTAAGCCCCTAACATCCTTCCTCCACCCACTGCTCGGCTCAAGTACAGCAAACCCCAACGTAAAGCAGCAGAAGCTGCCCCCCCCCCATGACGGACACCGAGAGCACGGGGCTGTAAGAGCACACAGAATCCAACTCTGCACACGTGGGGAGGTCACGAATAAAAGCAAATACCTGAGAGTAAATGGCATAGTATCAAAGCGCCTCTCCACCTCGCTGAAAAAGGCACGGGAGGTTTTCATCTTCAAGCCATACTGCTTGGAGGGGTCCCTTTTGTAAATCGTAGTTCTCTGCCCAGCGTCCTTCGCCTGAAAATGCGAACAGAGCCGAGTGGGAAGGGGGCAGAGCAGCAGCTCCTCTGCCAGAGAACTGCGTGGGCCAGGACGCTGATGGTAAAAGTCTGCCCTGACTTTTTTTTTGATGGAAAAAGCTACATGCAAAGAGAAGCAGCGAGACCCCACACGGATCGGGCTGTCAGCACCGCCGGCCTGTGCTCAAATCCAGCCACGTGCACGGAGAACGCCGGGCAGGGAGCACCCGACTCACCTTTCCCTCTCCACTGCTGACAAGAACATCGACAGCATAAACTTCGTGGACCTCAAATTCTGCTTTTTCGTGGTCCTTCCTGGATGAAAAAAAGGTTTGGTGAGTCAAAAAGTGGCAAATAGAGAGGAGAACACCTCCCACACAGCCACAGCACCTCCGACAAGCCCACGCTGGGCTTAGCCAGCGAGGGTCTGCAAGCACGAGGCAGCGCCAGGTGCTGCGAAGCGAACGGGTCCCTGACCAGAAGAGCAAAAGCTGGCACAGAAATCAAAGATTTATGTCCAGGTAGTAGAGCTGATCAGCAACAGGCTGGCAGGGAAAAACAACAGCAAGCCAGTGCTCTTCCTGCCCAGGACAAGGAGCTCCATCCCCAGAGAGGGGGAGGTGACCCCACATTCAGCACCAGCTCCTTGAGCTCGTGGTCACGTCCCAGCAGGCCAAGAGCCCCCCGGTACATCCCTACACCCTCGTGAGCCAAGTGCTGGATTTAAAGCCCCTAAACTCTAAATATTCAGCCTGAGAACCAGCCCTGACTGCACCCCCGAGGGACAGAAGCTGCTGGAGCAGAAGGACGAATCCAGCTCGTCGGTCCAAAGCCACCCTGAGATGCTCCTGACAGCCCCCACCACGCGGTGGGCTCCTGGCAGCCTCTGCGAGACGAGCGACAGCCCTGGCACGTTTCCTGCTGGACGAGCACCCACGGCCACCACGAGCAACAGGCGGCTACTTCGCTGGCAGCCTCTAAGGCCACAGGCTGCGAGCTGCTGGGGACTCCTTCGAGAAACTGGACTGAAACCAAGAACGCTCGCAGGTGCCAGCGAGGAGCGTCGGGTCGGTGCCTGGCAGCCTTTCCTTCTCAGGACAAGCCCCAGGCCTGGAGACGCGCTGCACGTTCACGTAGAACAGAAGCCAGGGGGGTAACAACCCCCGAGTCTGCCTCCCTGGGTCAGACTTCAAGCCAGGCTTCGTGCAGGGAGCGCTCTTCCTGCTGCTTAAACCCCGTCGCAGCGGCAGGCAGCCAGCACGTGCAAACACACCCGCTCCCCCCCGCCTGACCCCACAGCCAAAAAGCGAGAAATGGGAGCCCCAGCCCGAGCCACGCCACTCCCAGGTACCAGTGGAGCAGCAAGCCCCGAGGTGATGCTCACTTTTGCTGGTCTGTAGGGTTCTGGATGATTGTTTTCTCTCCATCGATCACGTGCTGCTTCAGCTGGTGCGACAGCATCCCTGCCGCGATAAGAGAACCCATTAACACCTCCGAGCTGCGCTGCAGCCTGGCGTTATCAACGCTCTGGGGTGCAGCAAATAGCCACACAAACCGCCTGGGGTGGTGAAACCTCCTCAGCTTCACCTGGTCAGGGGCTGTCCCCGCCATGTCAGTGGATGCAGAGCTCCCCAAAACCCCCCGTGACCCCCGCAGGAGCTGGGGACCCCTCCTGGCACCGCTGCTCCTCGGTGAAGCGCCCAACTCAGCGGCCACTCGTAACGGGCTGGAGCTGAGCCCGTGAGCACACATTTTTAACACCCCTGGGTGTTTTTAAACACATCAAATGAATGGAGACGTTTGGGGCTGGCCGTACCACACTCAGGGCACATTTGGGGGCTCAACTCCCTCTCCCTTTCTGCTCATCCCAGGACACGTCTCGTCCACGGAGGACGGCTCCATTGGTGAGAGGGGAGAGGAAAAGGAGAGCCCAGCCACCAGCAGCTCCGTTTGTTTTCATCAGCTGGGGCCTTCTGCTGCTGCCAGTGCCTAGATAATTACGGCACTTGACTGTTTCCAAAACAGTGGCTGCTTCAACTCCCTCGACAGCGCGAGCAGCCGCCTCCTCGCTGCGGCTCCTGCCACAGTTTTTCAGAGCAAGGAGCAGGGCACTGAGGGGACCCACAAAGCCATCCCACACAGGGAACGGGGCAGCGACCTTCCGAGGCTGGGCCAAGGCGAGCAGAGAGAAGGCACCAGCTTTCTGGCATTTCAGGAAATTTAACTAATAATGGGCCAATTTAATCGCGGCTGGAAACCGCTTGTTGGTGATGTCACTAACTAGCAGAAAAGCATCTGCACGTGCCAAGTGTCGAGCTCAGCTCTTGCCACCTTTCAAACAAGAGCCCAGCGTTCTCCTTTCATCAAGGAGCCACCCCAGCGCCTTCCCCCCGCTCGTTATCAAGGCTGTGAAGAAAACATGAATCAGTTCAGAGCTGCAAGGGAGGAAATTACATACCCTGCGCTTCTATGAGCATCTTTTGCAACGGATCACGCCTTACAAACGAGCTCTTTTGTGCATTTACTAAAGGGGATTGAGCTGCGAGCGGCCAAGTCTGAAGCCGAGGGCCAAGCGATTTGCCCAAGGTCAGCGGGAAGTCCCCGAGCCAGGACAGCACCTACCAGCCCGGGAAGCCCATGGCTGTTCCTAGATTAACGCATCTTTCACAACAGAGCAAAACCAAAAACAAAGGACAGAGGAAGGAAAAAAAAATCCAGATCGTTTTGAAGGTGGATAGTTTTGAAGTTTTGAAATTGATTTTTAAGCAAAGGCTGCTGCATTTGGAGGTGGCGTGCCTAGGACCTGCAGTCAGCGTGGGCTTCCCAGGATCCGAATGGGGCAGCTCGGGATCTCGGTCCGTGTGTAATTAATTACAACACCCCTACCCCTGCCTCGGCCACCCCCCAGGCCTCACCTTCGATCGGCGTGCAGTGAAACGAGTGGGCGATTTTGTTCCACGTGTCTGTCACTTGTGTATTCTGGATGAAGAACACACGAAAACACACATTAAGGGAATAAAATCCAAGGCACGGGCACGACAGGTTTCTCACTTGACAGCGCTCTGTGATAAACCGAGCGGTGCCCTGACACCTCCGAAAACAGGAGAAGCGGAGCCAGGCTTCCATTTTTAACCCCGTATCAACAAAAACAGCACGAACACGAGGTCAGCTCAGCCTCCTGCTTGCACCCGGTGCCTTTTCACAAGCCATCCCTTTAGGAGGTGACACCGGCAGCTACGAGAAACCCAGGCACGTCTGGAATAGCAACAGGGCGACAAGAGGAGAACGCCCACGGCCTGCTGAGGCGTCTGAGCGGCACAGTGGGAGGTTTAAGGGAGCCCCGTTCGGGGGATCTGCTGTGGGCCTAGCTAAAACCTTTATTTTTCCACCCAAAGTGGCTCCTTGCGCCATCCGAGCTGTTCCCACAGCCCCCCCGCCACTCACCTGGTTTCCAGGCTTCACCAGGCGCAGAGCGGCCTCAGCACAGAGGTGAGCTGCCTTGATGACATCAGCTTTACGGCCTGACACGGGGTTTTCCTGCAAGAAGGGGAAAATAAAGGCTCCTGGGGCTAAGTTCTTTTACCTCTTATTGGCAAAAACGCGCTGCTGACTGATGGAGAGCCTCCATCTAACCAAACACCCCCCCGAGCAGAGCGGGGGATCTCAGTCAGAGTTGGGGGAGCTCCTGGCTTCCAGCTCTGTTGTCCTTCCCCTGCTCAAAAAGCAGGTGAGCAGCAGCCACAACCACGCTGGCTCTCCCCTATTTCATGCTGAATTTCTCCATTATTTCTTGTTGCATTTCAACAAGAACACCCTCGTACAAGCTCATCGCTGTCAAAGACTGAACAAGTCTTTTGTGTAGCCGGGGACACGGACTGCAAAGGCTTCCAGTGCATCTCTGGAAATTTTTCTGTCCTCTCCACAGGAGAAAAACCACTCCGAAGACCCACACCGCTGTTCTCCTCCCCAGACTCCAGCTAAAAGCCTGCTCCAAGCCTACGTGACGGCTCCACGCACGTGACTCCCACAGCCGGCTGCAGGAGCGTGGCTTGGCCTCACCTCCAGAACACCCAACCAAAGGCCTGGGCCAAAAACCACCCGTGCCAGCAGGTGCCTTCAGCCCCAGGTGAGAAAATCTGCCCCAGGTGTGCCCAGGCACGCTCGGACAGGAAAAGCAGGCGGCAGGGACGGGTGTTTGGGGCTCGGGGAACACGTCCCCCCCCCGTGCTTGGGTTTGGGAAGGCGACGGCAGCAGCGCGGCCAGCAGAGGGGGCAGGGAAACCTGCCCAGCGCACAGCAGCACCTCCATTTGCAGGGCAGACACTCCGAGCACCTCGCTGCAGCGCCGCCCACGTTTGGTCTGTCCCCAACTCTTTGTCACCTTGCTGAGGCCGCGCGCCTGCCCTCGCCTTCCAGGGGACCGAGGGGTTTAACAAAAGGCTCCGTTTTCACACCAGATCCTTTGGGAACCCAAGCAGCCACCTCCTCCCCGAGGCTCTGCTGTAGAAGCAGGTGCCCCCAACGTCTGCTGTTTGCTCTCCCCTTTAGGCTGCACACCAGGCAGCAGCTGCAGGAGTGACAGCACCGCGCCACAAACCCACCTTGGAGGCGTCTATGACAAAACTGTGTGCTACATTCGCTATGAAGCCATCCACGTGGACTCCCAAGTCGCTGCAACACAAAGAGAGTTAATTACAGGTGGGGCCTAATGGCTGGGGAAACTTGTGTGACTCCTCCAAGTATTCCCCGACGCAGGCATGTTTCAAAAGCTTGGCTAGCTATTAGATTCTGCAATTAGTCACGTCGGGGAAGTACTTAACGCACCGAGCAGGATTAAAAAGCAAAGCCCTGATGCCAGCAGTCAACTCACGAGAAACCTGAGCGAGACGCTTACATTTTGACCAAGTCTCCGTCTTTGAGGATGTAGTCTTGGTCGCTCTTCAAGGGGGAGAAGTGACAGACGCAGTTATTTACTGATATACTCGTCGGGAAGGCAATACCTGTGAAGAGAAAACACAGAAACACCCCATGAAGTCCTGCGGCCTCATGCAGCGCAGGCAGTGTGAACATCACTTAGGTTTTAGGGTTTTTTAAAGCTGTGTAAAATGCCCCGCTGCATCCTCCTCCAGCCCCAAAGCAGCAGGACTGCAGCGCGTGGCGTGCTCCTGCGCCAGCTCTTCCTTTCACCCAGGCACCCACCTGAATAAAACTGATCCCCAGCAACAAGACACTTGCAGAAGGGACTCCAAATCTCCAGAGCACAAGGCAGGGAGCTGGGTGGCACGTTCAGGTGGCACCACGTCACCGTTCCCAGGGCAGCGCTGCCCCCAGTGCCTCTCATTTTGGGGAGTGAGGAAACACGAAGCTCCAGCTCACTGGTGATGGTGTGAGCAGGGCTGAGAGGGGCTCTCTGGGAGCAGCGGGCCAGTTCTAACAACGGGCAGCCCTTCCTGCCCCGCTGCCCCCTCGCAGCGGGCACCCACCAGGCCCAAAGCAACGCGCCCGCGTTGGAGCAGGCCTCACCTTTTTTCATTTCTTTCTCCTTCTTGAAAATCTTGCCGGTCTCCTCCATGATCATGGCGTCTCCCTTCTCACACAAGCACAGAACCGATGCCCCCGAGCTGGCCGCTTCCACCACGGCACGCAGGACCCCTGCGGAGAAACACAGACACGGAGCCCTCAGAGCGGTACCGGCGAGCGGCGCGGGGGCAAGAGACGGAGCCGTTTTTTGTGGGGAGCGCCATTCTCCACTCAGCTTTTCACCAAGAGGGCTGCGGACACACAGAAAACCCGTCTGAATGTTTATTTGGTGTTTTTGAGAGCTGCCTTTCCCCAGCCCTCTCCCTGAAGAGCGCGAGCAAACAGAGCTGGGTCGGGATTTGCACGGGTGAAGCGCCGCGGCCTCACGCACCGAGCCCGGCTGAAAGCAGCCGAGCAGGAACAGCGCTCTGCCACATTCCTTCCAGCCCAGTCAGAGCTCCAGAAACAGGTTTGGAAACGACTCGGGGAAGCGAGACGCGCAGCACATCAAAGGGGCAGGGGCCAGCGCTGCGGGCGCGTGGGACCGGAGGGCCGGGAGCTGGCGAAGCGGAGCCCATCCCGCGGGGCCCCGACGCTGCAGGACCGCGGCTCTGAGGCAGGGCGCGTGCTCTGCACCCCGACACGGCGCCCGGCTGACGCGGGGGACGCCTCGCTGGGGCTCAGGGCGAGTTTCGCTGCCTCCTTCGCACGTCTTCGGGTGCCTCCGAGTCCCGGCAGCCTCTCGGCTCCGGCGTGCCCGGAGCTTTGCGGGACGGCCCCGTGGGCTCCCCGCGGCCCCCAGCTGCTCCCCCTCTTCTTCCTCGTGAAGCCGGGGCGCTCCACCAGGACTCGAGGCTTACACTAACATTTATTTTCAGGTCCTGGTGTCCTCGCAGTCTCCCCGTGCACTTTTTTTGCTCCGGGAAGCGCTTCCCCTCCGTGGGAGCTTCTGTCAGCGACAGGGCACGTGCTGCACAAGTGCCCGAGGAGGGGTTTACGGGGCCGGGCTCTAATCGGTTCCTTGACACCAAAACCCGAAGTTTTCCCCTGCATGATACCTTCCAGGTGCTTTCGGCCACCTCTCCACACGTCGCAAACCTTTTGGGAACGCTCCCAAGCACACTGCTCCCGCACGGGAGGCGTTTAGGGGAAGGCAGGACACAGGGAGGGGAAAAACGACAGCGTTAAGGCAAACACCGGGGGGAGAGGAGCGGAGAGCCGGGCTCCTCACAGCACCAGGACAAAACGGGGCAGCAGCGAGCACGGAGCACCCCGGAACCGTGCTCCGTCCTTCCCCGGTGCCTCGTGTCGGGCCGTGAGCCCCTCGCAGCCCCGGGGGCACACCAAGAGCCTGGGGGTGCTGCCAGGCAGGGAACGTTTTTGCCCCGGTTCCCTCTGCCCTTCCCCAGCTCCGCTAAAACAAACACCGGGGCCGGGCTGCCAGCCGGGGGGGCTGCTCCACGTGCCAAACCGGTGGCCGGTGTTAAAGGCCGCGTGTGCCACGGCACCGGGGAGCGGCTCCGGTCCCACGGGGGGGGCTCTGCCCCCCGGTACCGACACTCGGGGCAGCAAAATGGGGCCAAGGGGAGGGGTCCAAGCCCTGAGCCATGTCCCTAAAGCCGATCCCAGGGCACCCCGAGGAGCCCGGGGGGGGGCACGGTGCCCCCGGAGCCCCCCAGCGCCGCCGGTCCCGGGGGCACGGGCAGCAGCTGGAAGCTCCCCGGGGGGGGCAGCGAGCAACGGGGGTGATGCAGCAAAAATAAACCTTGAAAACCGAGCGGGGGGGGGGGGGGGACGGGGACCGGGATCGGGGGGCTGACCCCGGGGGGGAGCAGCGCCAGGGCCCGGCCCGGTGCTGCCCAGCCCCGGGAGTGCGCCCAGCCCGGCCCCGCTGCCCCCCCCCCACCGGTAAGAGGGGTCCGGGAGGGGGGGGTGAGGGGGGGGTCGATCCCTTAACAAAAGACCGGAGGCACCGGGGGGAGCCCGGTTCAGGGGGGGTCCGCACGGCCGTGCCCCCACCCGCCCCTCCCGGGGGGAGCCCGCCGGGCCCTGCCCCCCCCCCCCCCCCGGTGCACGTGGGGCGCGGAGGCCACGTGCGGGCAGCGCCCGCCGAGCGCGGCCGGGCCGGGGGCACCGGGAACACCGGGAGCCGCCCCCCCGAACCCCCGCAGCCCCCCCACAACGGCCGGGGGGCTCCGTGCTCCCCCCTCCCCCCCCCCACCGGGGTCAGACGGGCCGGGGGGGGGCACTAGGCCGCGCCGCCCGCCCCAGGCCCTCCCCCCCCGCTCCCCGTTCCCCTTCCCCGTCCCCCCCCTCCCCTCCCGGTACCCCCGGTGCTGCCCCCTCCCCTCCCCCACTCCCCGTTTTTCCCCCCCCCCCTCCCGTTCCCCCCCCCCAGCCGCCCGCGGCCCAGCACTCACGGTTGGCGATGTCCCCCCCCATCTTGTACTTGGTCACCACCAGGTCCTCGGCGATCGTCAGCTCGGCCGCCTCCTCCTCGCCCGACATGGTCGGAGCCGCCCCCGGCCGCCGCCGCCGCCCCCGGTCCCGGCCCCGTCCCCGTCCCCCCCCCGCCGCCGCCGAGACCCCGGGGAGCGCGAGCGCGAGCGCGCGAGCAGGGCAGGAGCGCGGGCTCCGCGCGAGGCACGCTGGGAAGCCGAGTCCCCGCCCCCCGGACTACAACTCCCGGCAACCGCCCGCGGCGCGCACGGCTCCGGCCCGCAAGCCGGCCGCGGGGACTCCAATTCCCAGGGGGCACCGCGGTTCTCGCGAGAGAGGAGAGGAGACGGGGAGGGAGCGGCGCGCGGGGGGTGATGGGAAATGTAGTTCGGAGCGGTGGAGGCGGGGGGGAGGCAGGGGCGGGGGCAGCGCGGGCGGGGGGCGCTGCCCGGGGGGGTCCCCGGGTGCCCCCTCCCCTGGCCCCGGTCCCGGCCCCATGGGGTCAGCCCCAGCCCCTGCCTTGACCCCGATCGTGGTCCCCCCCCCCCCCAACCCTTGCCCCAAGACCCCCCCCCTTCAGCCCCAGCCCCTGACCCAGGACCCCCCAACCCCAGCCCCAAGACCCCCCCAGCCCCATAGCTCTGCCCCACGCCCCCCCCCCCAGCCCCAGGACCCCCTCAGCCCCTTCCCCACGACCCCCCCAGCCCCACGCCCCCACCCTGCCCCAGGACCCCCCCAGCCCCTGCCCCATATCCCAGCCCCTTCCCCACGCCCCCCCCCCCAGCCTGTACCCCAGGACGCCCCCCAGCCCCAGGACCCCCCCCAGCCCCTTCCCCACGCCCCCCCCAGCCCCACGCCCCCCCCATCTCCACGCCCCCCCCCCAGCCCCACGCCCCCCCCCAGCCCCACACCCCAGCACGCCCGCTCCGTGTCCCTTTGCCTTTATTGTGCATTTTCAAACCAGAACCGGCTCCAAACGGGGGGGGGGGGGTCGTGGGGGTCCCGCTCGCACCCCGACCCCTGCCCGAAAGCAGCCCGCGGAGTGCACGGAGCAGGGGGGGGGGGGGGCGACACCCCCGGCCTGGCCACCAGCGGGGGCCCTGAGGACGGGCACCCCAGCCCAGCCCGCCGGGCCGGGGTGTGCTGCAGGGGGGCACCCCAAAAATGTGCCCCCCCCCCCCCCGCCCAGCTCCAGCAGGGAATGGGGCAAACTGGGGCCGTCCTGCCCACGCGTCCCGCCTGCGGCAGCTGAGGGGGCCCCGGCCCCACAGGGGGACCCCACACCCTAAGGGGGACCCCAAATCTAGAGGGGGGGTCCACAGCCCCAAAGGGGGACCCCAAACCCTAAGGGGGATCCCAGTCCCTAAGGGGGACCTCAGACCTAAAGGGGGGGGGGACACAGCCCCAAAGGGGGGTCCCAGTCACTAAGGGGGACCCCAAATCTAGAGGGGGGGTCACAGTCCCAAAGGGGGACCCCAGACCTAAAGGGGGGGGTCATGGCCCCAAATTGGGACCCCAAACCCAAAGGGGGACCCCAGCCCCTAAGGGGGATCATGGCCTAAAAGGGGGACCCCAGACCTAAAGGGGGGGGGTCACGGCCCCAAAGCTGAGCCCCCTGCCCCCAGATGGGGCGGACGCCGTGGGTCCTGCACCCGGGGAGCACCCTGGAACAGGGTGGGGGGGGGGAGTGCTTGGGGGGGGGCCCTTGGGCAGAGCAGAGGAAGGGGGGAGACCCAACCCCCCCCAACCCCATTCCCACCCTTTGGGACCCCCGGGGAGCTTCAGCTGCCACCCCCCACCCAGCAGGGGCTGGGGGGGCTCCTTCATATCCAGTGTAAACAGCTGGGAGGAGGGGTCCGGGGGGGGCCCGGGGGGGTCCCCTACGTCCTCTGGGCGTCCACCTTGGCGAAGAGGCGGCTGTGCCAGTAGTCGGGGTTGTCGAAGGCGCAGTCCGAGGCCTCCAGGCTGCGCAGGGGCTTCATGCAGCCGGGGGGGGGCCCGGGGGGGCCGCGGCAGCCGGGGCAGGGGGGGCCGGGAGGGGCCAGCACGGCCTCCATCTCCTCGTAGCCCTGCTCCTCGGCGGGGGCCGGGGTGGGGGTCTCCCCCGGCCGCATGTCGGTGTAGCCATCGTGCCGGGGGGTGGGGGGGGGTCCAGCCTCGTGTCGGGGTCCCGGCCCCCCCCCGACGCTACCCAGCGAGCGGCTGAGCCGCGGCTGCTTGTTCATGTACTCGTAGTCCTCCTCCTCCTCCCCGCGGCCCTGAGGGGGTGGGTCCGGGGGGGGCACCCGGCTCTGAGCCCACCTCCATGTACTCGTAGCCCAGCTCCTCCAGCGAGGCCGGCCGTGGTGGGGGGGGGGCTCCCGGGGGGGGCCCGGGGCGCCGGTTCATGTACTCGTACTCCTCCTCCGCGTCTGGCACCAAGACCCCCGTGGGTTCTGGGTCTGTGGGGGCAGGGGGGGGGTCAGAAAGTAGCCACCCCCCCTCCCCAAATTCCACCCTCGGTGCCCCTGCTTTGATCCCGGGGCTGGTGCCGAGCATGGGACCCCCCCCATAGCACTGGGGCCCCCCCAGCCCCAGCCCTACAGGGATGGGTCCCCATAACCTAAACGTATTGCTGAGACCCCCACCCCTGGGTCAGGAGACCCCCCCCCAATCCCAGCCCTGCAAGGACAGGTCCCCATAACCCATAAGTGTTGCTGAGACCCCCACCCAAGGGGATGGGAGGCCCCCCAGCCCCAGCCCTACAGGGATGGGTCCCATTAACCTAAGGTCAGTGGCAAGACCCCCACCCATGGGGTCAGGAGACCCCCACCCATAGCACTGGGGGACCCACCCCAACCCCAGCCCTACAAGGATGGGTCCCCATAACCTAAAGCCACTGCTGAGACCCCCACCCACGAGGACAGGAGACCCCCACCCATGGGGTCAGGAGACCCCCACCCATAGCACTGGGGGACCCCCAGCCCCAGACCTACAAAGATGGGTCCCATAACCTAAGGTTGTTGGCAAGACCCCCACCCCTGGGTCAGGAGACCCCCAACCCATGGGGTCAGAAGACCCCCCCCCCCAATCCCAGCCCTGCAAGGATGGGTCCCCATAACCTAATACCATTGCTGAGACCCTCACCCCTGGGGAGAGGAGACCCCCACCCATAGCACTGGGGGCCCCCCAGCCCCAGCCCTACAAGGATGGGTCCCCATAACCTAAGCCCATTGCTGAGCCCCCCACCCACGAGGTCAGGACACCCCCACCCTCCAAGCACACCCCCTCCCCACTCCCCCTCTATACCAAGACCCCCCCCCCGGGGGTCTGTGCCCCTCACCCCTCCCGGCGCAGCTGGGGGTGACATAGCCGTTGGCGTCCTCCTCGCTGCCCTCGGAGCTGGGGGGCGGGGGGGGGAAGCTCTCCCTGTGGGACAGGTAGGCGCTGTCCCCCCGCGAGCGCAGGCTGCGGCACAGGCTGCCCGCCAGCGACAGCCCCTCCGCCAGGTCCAGCTCCGACGCCGTCCCCCGGCCCTCCGACGACTCGGACACCGTGCGCCCCACCGACTCCTGGCGGCTGCGCCGGGGCAGCCGGGTCACCGTGCCCTGGGGGGGGGACACAAGGGTGGTGGGGGGGCTGCCACAGCCACCCCACGGCCACCCCACGGTGACCCCACGGCCCCCACTCTGACCCCAGAGCTCCGGCTCCTCTGCTCACCGGGGTCACCCCTTTTATCCCATCCCTTTGTCCCCCCCCACCATCATCATCCCGTTGCCCCCCC